ACAAATGTTTTTTGTTTTATTTAAAAATAATGAAGAGTCACGAAGAACCGAGAAGTTTCGTTCGGTTCACGAACAAACATATCTGTCCGAAAATAAATGGGTGAACAATCACGAACAAACATATCTATCCAAAAAATAAAATTCCAAAACAAAAACATGTATGTTCGGTGAAAAACAAAACTGTCTGAACCAACATGTCTGTTCGGTGAAAAACAAAACTGTCTGAAGCACACTTCTCATTCACCTTCTATGGGATTTGGATACCAAAATCCCAACAATCCCCCACATGAATGAGAAGTTCATATATCATGACTCTTCGTGCATGCATGAGATGTAATGTACGATTATTCCATGAGAGAACACTGCATTGGGATAAGTAGTCTGAGACTTTGAACTTTCACTAGCGAGACCTATCGGACTTACTCGGTCAATCAGTAGACTTGATGTCTTTGAACTGTCAACCTTCGATGTAAGTCAAGACAATAGGAATCACACAACTATCTCTCAAACAAAGTTGGTTCTCACTGTTGTGTTCGTTTTGGCCATGAACACCGCCTGATTTCATGAGTGCTTTCGAGAATTCGACCTTTCAAATTCTTCATAGAAGCGGCCCTCACTTCACACTCACATAGGTGATTTTTGAATGTGTGGTATAACACATGCCCGAAATAGAATCATTAAAAGCTTACACTTAACCTTCACATGTCAGTACTGTCTCCATACGGGAATGAGTAAGAGTTGACAGAATTCTACATCGCCTACATAACTTGGTTGTCTCTTTGAACCTAGATCTTGGGATCTCCAGTCAACTAGGTAGGGTTTCTGCTATGATGACTTATTTTATAGGCCTTAAACTCATTCCCCTTGATGTTTTCACAACCATATCTCTAGTTAAACCTTTTGTTAATGGATCCGCAACATTATCTTTTGACTTCACAAAGTCAATCGTGATAATTCCACTAGAGAGTAGTTGTCTTACAGTATCGTGTCTTCGACGTATATGTCGGGACTTCCCGTTATACATGACATTACTTTCGGGAAGCCTATTGCCGCTTGACTATCACAATGAATACACACAGCTGGCACTGGTTTAGGCCAATTAGGAATGTCTTCTAAGAAATTTCAAAGCCACTCAGCTTCTTCACCAGCCTTATCCAAAGCAATAAATTCTGCTTCCATAGTAGATCTCGTAATATAAGCTTGTTTGGATGATTTCCAAGACACTGTTCCCCCACTAAGCATAAACACATACCCACTTGTGGATTTTGTGTCTCTTGTACCGGTTATCCAATTTGTATCACAGTATCCTTCAAGTACCGCTGAATACTCTATGTAGTGCAAAGCATAATTTTAAGTATGCTTCAATAGCCCAATACACGTTTCATAGCTCTCCAATGATTTTCATTTAGACTAACTGTAAATCGACTTAGCTTGCTCACAGCACAAGCTATATCCGGCCTAGTATAGTTCATGACATACATTAGACTTCCTAATATACTAGCATACTCATTTTGAGCTTTACCTTCACCAGTATTCTTTGAAAGATGTAAATTAATATCTACTGGAGTCTTTACTGGTATAATGTCTAGATTCTTGCACTTTCCAAGAATCTTCTCAATGTAATGAGACTTTGATAGAGCTAATCCTCCAGATGTCTTATGGATTTTAATCCCTAAAATAACATCTGCAACCCTCATATCTTTCATATCAAATTTACTTGTGAGCATGCGTTTGGTCGCCTTGACAACCTTACTATCGCTGCCCATTATAAGCATGTCGTCTACATACAAGCACAAAATGGCAAAACCATTATGAGTATTCTTAACATATACACATTTATCACACTCATTAATCTTAAAACCATTCGACAACATGACTTGGTCGAATTTAGCATGCAATTGTTTCGGTGCTTCTTTCAAGCCATAGAGTGACTTGATCAGCCGACATACTTTCTTCTTTTGTCCTGGAACAATGAACCCTTCAGGTTATTCCAAATATATTTGTTCTTCCAAATCCCCGTTTAAGAAAGCCGTTTTTACATCCATTTGATGGATTTCAAGCCTATACACCGCTGCTATGGCAATTAGCATCCTTATAGATGTAATTCTAGTAATAGGTGAATAGGTGTCAAAATAATCAAGACCTTCTCATTGCTTGTATCCTTTTACCACAAGCCTAGACTTATATTTATCAATAGAACCATCCGCTTTCATTTTCCTCTTGAAAATCCATTTACATTGTAGTGGTTTATTACCAGGAGGAAGGTCAACCAATTCCCAATTATGGTTTGACAAGATGAACTCAACTTCACTATTGATAGATTCTTTCCAGAACGGGGCTTCTGGAGATGTCATAGCCTCTTTAAAGGTCCGAGGCTCATTCTCTAACAAATATGTTAGAAAATCAGGTCCAAAAGACTTAGAAGTTCTTTGTCTTTTACTACGTCTAGGTTCATCCTCCATAGGATCTCTTCTAGGTGTAATATCTCGAGGCCTCTTATCAATGTTAATTGGCTCATATAATATGTTATACGGAAATATATTCTCAAAGAATGAAGCGTCCCTTGACTCAATGATCGTATTAACATGTATATCTAGGACCTCACACTTATGAACAAAAATTCAATATGCATTACTATTAATAGCGTATCCAATGAAGACACGATCAACGGTTTTCGGTCATATTTTAACCTTTTTAGGTTTAGGAATCACAACCTTAGCCAAGCACCCCACACCTTGAGATATTTCAAATTAGGCGTTCTGCCTTTCCACTTCTCATAGGGAATTTGTTGTGTCTTTTTGTGGGGTACTCTATTTAAGATAAAATTCGCCGTCAAAACAGCTTCCCCCCACAAATTATGTGGTAAACCGGAACTAATCAACAATGCATTCATTGTTTCCTTTAAAGACCGGTTTTTCCTTTCCGCCACTCCATTAACTTGTGGCGCGTAAGGAGGAGTAATTTGGTGAATAATACCAAATTCAGAACAAATTTCTTTAAAAGGAAATTCATATTCACCTACTCTATCACATCTTATCATTTTAATTTTCTTATTTAACTAAGTTTCAACTTCAGACTTATAAGTTCAAAAAGCATTCATGGCCTCCTCTTTGCTACTAAGCAAATAAACATAACAATACCTCAAACAATCATCTATAAAAGTGATAAAATACTTCTTACCACCCCTTGACGGTATTGCTTTCATATCACATATGTCTGTGTGTATTAAATCTAAAGGTTATATGATTCTATTATCTATAGAATAAAATGGAGGCTTAGAAAACTTAGATTCAACACACACTTACCATTTTTCACTTGGACAGTCAAATTTTGGCAATAACCCCATGTTCATTAATTTCTTTGTTGACTTATAATTAACATGTCCTAGTCTAGCATACCATATATCAGGAGACCCAAGCACATAAGCAGAAACAACTTTATTCATAACATCATTGGGTGCAACAGTCATTACATTCAACTTGAACAGACAATCACTAAGATAACTATTTCCTACATACATCTCATTTTTGGAGAGTACAAACTTATCGGATACAAACACCAACTTGAAACCATTCTTGCTAAGGAGAGATCCGGACACTAAATTATTTCTTCTCAGAAAGCCTATTGTCTTCCTCTATCTTCAATCGAACAATTAAGCCTTCAAGTGATAACTCATTTTTCTTGTGTTTGAGATAATTCTTGAAATCTTTCCAAGACGGTGGTAACTTTTCAATGAAATAGCCACTTGAAATGATTCACTAATCATCATACCTTCAGTATGAATGTCATGCATGATCACTTGAAGTTCTTGAACTTGACTTAAGACGGTTTTAGAATCTACCATCTTGAAGTCCAGAAATTTACCGATAATGAATTTCTTCAACCCAGCATCTTCTGTTTTGTATTTCTTATCCAAACTTTCCCACAACTCCTTTGCCATTTTCAGCGGACTATAAACGTTGTAGAGGGAATTGTCCAGATCATTGAGGATATAGTTGCGACACAGGAAGTCAGAATGCTTCCATGCATCTATAGCAGCAACCTTTTCCTTGCTTGTCTCTCTTTCATCCAACTTAGGAGCATCTTCAATGAGGAACCTTGCCAAATTCAAAGTGGTGAGGTAGAACAACATCTTCTGTTGCCATCTGATATGAATCTGTGCGGAAGATGATCGTTCTACGAAGATCTGTGAGTTACGAATTGCTGACCTCGACCCCCAATCGAACCTGTGATTAGTAATCTCGGTATGAACGCGACCTGTTGACGAACCTGTGTCAACCAATCCACGCTATAACGCCACGAACAAGAAAATTCACGATCTTGCTCGATAAGTTGAATTCGATCGCCACAAGGGAACTTTGATAAGATCTAGTCCTCAAGAGAACTCAAGAAGAAAACTTCTCTATATAAAATTCTGCCTCTCTTAGAAATCTATAAGCAACCTTATATAGGGTGCTAACCCTAATCCTAATCCTACTAGGATTAAAATTACAAAAATAACCTTAATTACTAAAAATTCGTCCAAAAATGGAAAAAGGCCTAAAAGTTCGTCTAAACGACTCTAAATCGCTAAAAAAACGTCATCAATCACTACTGAAGTAGTGTGTATTGATCAGCGGCCCGTTTTCAAGCGTCCATCCAAATTTGAGCCAATTCGGAGTTTGTCAATTCTAAGCTCCTTCGGAATTCGCTGGACCAAGAGTAATCATGTTGCGCCAAGGAGCTTCAGAATCTTCAAGTTTCGAATTCATATTGTCTCCATTCCAAATATCTTGAACCATGATGCCGACAGCTTGTTTGAATTTCTTCGCTCTCGCTCGAGTGATCGGGCCTAGCGGATAGAACAACGGGTCCCGAGCACCTCCTCCTCGATAGGATTCGATGTCCACATCATTCCCTCTCCCGTGCAAAGGATTTGCCCTCAAATCAGCGTCTGCATCAAAAAGAGTCAAATCAAAAACATTGAAAGTAGCACTAATACCATACTCACCTGGAAGGTCAAGCTTGTAAGCATTATCGTTGACTCTTTCTAGCACCATAAATGGTCCATCCCCTCGCGGTAGCAATTTAGAGTGTCGCTGTTTGGGGAAACGCCCTGTGCGCATATGAACCCAAACCCAATCGCCGGGTTCAAACACTACTTTCTTGCGCCCTTTGTTGGCTTGCTTTGCATACTGCTCTGTCTTAAGCTCAATATTTAGCCGCGTCTTCTCATGCAAAGTCTTCACAAATTCAGCTTTCTTAGTACCATCTAAATCCACACGCTCAGCAACAGGCAAAGGAGTTAAATATAACGGAGTTAAGGGATTAAAACCATAGACAACCTCAAACGGTGTGAATTTAGTAGCAGAATGCACGCTTCTATTATAAGCAAACTCAACATGCGGTAAACAATCTTCCCAAGACTTAATGTTCTTTTTAATAATAGCACGCAATAATGTCCCTAAAGTCCTATTAACTACTTCAGTTTGATCATCAGTTTGTGGATGACAAGTAGTAGAGAATAAAAGTTGTGTACCTAACTTCTTCCACAATGTTTTCCAAAAGTAGCTTAGAAATTTAGTATCTCGATCAGAAACAATGGACCTAGGCATACCATGCAAACGCACAACCTCACGAAAGAACAATTCAGCAACATTCGATGCATCATCAGATTTATGACAAGGTATAAAATGAGCCATTTTTGAAAATCGATCAACAACAACAAAAATAGAATCCTTGCCATGCTTAGACCTAGGCAATCCTAACACAAAATCCATAGAGATATCAACCCAAGGATGCGTCGGGATAGGCAAAGGTGTATACAAACCATGTGGTTTAATCGTAGACTTAGCCTGCTTACATGCGATACATCTCTCGCAAACTCGTGTGACATCTCGTTTCATGTGTGGCCAAAAAAAATGTTCATGCAGCACTTCATAAGTCTTATTGATTCCAAAATGCCCCATTAAACCACCACTATGTGCCTCTCGCACTAACAACTCGGGCAAAAAGCATCTAGGCAAACACAACTTATTTTCACGAAAGAGATATCCATCATGCCTATAAAACTTTTCAAACGCAGCATGCTCACAAGCTTCAAATACTCTTCCAAAATCATCATCGTCAGCGTATAAACCTTTGATATGCTCAAAACCTAGACACTTTGCTCCTAGAGTAGTTAGAATTGCGTACCTTCGAGAAAGTGCATCAGCTACCACATTTTCCTTACCTTTTTTGTACTTGATTACATATGGAAAAGTTTCAATGAACTCCATCCATTTGGCATGTCTTTTGTTCAACTTTTGCTGCCCTCTCAAGTACTTTAAGGTCTCGTGATCGATGTAGATCACAAACTCCTTTGGCCACAAGTAATGTTGCCAAGTCTCCAAAGCTCGCACCAAAGCATACATCTCCTTATCGTAAGTCGGATAATTCAATGTCGCTCCGCTTAACTTCTCGCTAAAATACGCTATGGGACGTCCTCCTTGCATCAACACAGCTCCAATTCCTGTACCAGAAGCATCGCATTCTATCTCAAAAGTAGTACTGAAATTCGGTAAAGATAACAAAGGAGCATTAGTCAGCTTATCCTTTAACAGATTGAATGCTCTCTCTTGCTCTTCTCCCCATGTGAAACCCATGTGCTTCTTGATAATCTCGGTTAAAGGTGCGGCGATGGTGCTGAAATATTTTACAAATCTACGATAGAAACTGGCTAAACCATGAAAGCTGCGCACCTCTCCTACTGTCTTAGGTGTCGGCCATTCACGGATTGCTTTCACCTTTTCTTCATCAACCTGTATTCCATCAGCACCAACAACAAAGCCTAGAAATACTAATTTGTCAGTTACAAAACAACATTTCTTTAGGTTAGCATATAATTGCTCAGCCCTTAAAACCTGCAAAACAGCTCGCACATGCTCAATATGGTCATCAAGGCTTCGACTATATATCAGGATATCATCAAAATAGACAACTACAAATCGACCAATAAAAGCACGCAGAACATGATTCATAAGTCGCATGAAAGTACTAGGTGCATTAGTTAAACCGAATGGCATGACTAACCATTCATATAACCCGTACTTGGTCTTAAATGCAGTTTTCCATTCATCCCCCTCTTTCATCCTAATTTGATGATAACCACTTTTCAGATCAATTTTAGTAAATATGCAAGCTCCATGCAATTCATCCAACATATCATCTAGCTTAGGAATAGGATGTCGATACTTTACCTTTATGTTATTGATTGCTCGGCAATCAACACACATTCGCCAAGACCCATCCTTCTTTGGCACCAACAAAACAGGAACAGCACACGGGCTAAGAGACTCTCTCACATATCCTTGCTTTAGTAATTCGCTAACTTGCTGTTGAAGTTCCTTTGTCTCTTCAGGATTGCTTCTATATGCGGGTCGGTTAGGCAATGGTGCACCAGGAATCAAATCGATTTGATGATCTATGTCTCGAATCGGTGGTAAACCTCCAGGAAGCTCATCAGGAAAGACATCTTCAAATTCCTGCAACAAAGACACGACAGAACTTAGCAAATTCGGGTCAAGTTCGTTAGTAGTAAACAATGCCTCCTTGTACAAAAGTACAAGTATCGGTTGGTTCAGAATCAAAGCTCTCCTTACTTCGCTCGATTTTGCATAGAAATTCTTTTCTCTCTCCTTTTCTCTCGGTTTTTACCACTCTACTCTTATCTTCCTCTCCTTTTACTTGCGTCTCAGAGTTTCCACGCAGGCCCTCAGTTTTATCACTTTTTCTCTCTCTCAGCCTCACGTTGTAGTTTCAATTGATCTTCATACACCTCAGTAGGTGTCATTGGCACCAATGTGTATGTCTTCTGATTCATCACCAATGAATATCGGTTAGTGTACCCGTCATGATTTACCTTTCGATCATACTGCCATGGCCTACCAAGTAAAAGATGCCCTGCTTGCATAGGTATAACATCACACATCACATCATCCTTATATCGCCGTATCTCAAATGGAACTCGGATTTGCTTCGATACTTTTACTTCACCACTATCATTCAACCACTGCAATTTATATGGTCTTGGATGCTTTGTAGTCTCCAATCCCAACTTCTCCACCATGGTACAACTTGCTACATTTGTACAACTACCTCCATCAACAATCAAGCTACAAATCTTACCATTCACCAAGCATCTTGTATGGAACAAGTTATCGCGTTGCTGGTGATGCTCCTCCTCTTTGACTTGAACACTAAGAGAACGCCTAACTACCATCAATTCACCCTTTGCTGGCATCTCAACATCACTACAATCCTCTAATGGTGGCATGTCATCATCCTCTTCCTCTCTCTCACTTTCTGATTCAACATCATTATGTCCAGTCATGATCATCACCCTCCTATTAGGGCACTGATTTGCCATATGACCTCTGCCCAAACACTTGAAACATTTAATATCACGAGTCTTAGTGTTAGGGTTTTCAGTTTTACCTGAAACCGGATTCGAACTAACTTTGCCATCCTTCAAAGTTTCAGTCTTGATATTGTTTCCCTTCCAATTCGGCTTCTCGTCTCTCTTCCAATTAGACTTCCAATTCGAGCTTGAACCTCCACCACTCTTGTAATTTCGATCCAACTTCAATTGCCGCTCAACTTTGATGGCTTTGTCCACTAATACCTCCAATTCAACGTAGTGTTGCAGCTCTACCACCCTTATTATATCTCGGCTCAAACCACACAAAAATCGTGACATTGTGGCCTCACGGTCTTCCACCACATTAGCGCGGATCATAGCAATCTCCATCTCTTTATGGTATTCTTCCACACTCCTATTGCCTTGTGTGAGATTTTGCAGCTTATGGAACAAGTCTCTGTGGTAATGACTAGGTATAAAGCGCCTCCTCATCACTGCTTTCATCTCATCCCACGTTTCTATTGGTCTTTCACCATTGCGTCTCCTGCTAGTCACAAGTTGATCCCACCAAATTATAGCATAATCAGTGAATTCAACAGCTGCAATTTTTACCTTTTTGAGTTCCGAATATCGCTGGCAATCAAATACCATCTCCATCCGTTTCTCCCATTCTAGATATGCATCAGGATCATTCTTTCCTTGAAAAGATGGAATCTTCATCTTGATGTTGCCAAGCTCATCATCTTCTCGACGTCTAAATCCTCGGCGTCCGTTTCTCCTCTCAAACCTGCCATCTCGATCATCTTCTGTATCGGACACATATGCATCATCAAATTGCCGCTGCCATCTAGGTTGTGCCCTAGGCTCTTCTCGCTGATTTTGTGGCCTCCCTCGTGGTGGCTCTCGATCATCTTCAAGTCTCGTCTCACATCTTGCAACTCGGTTGCTAAGTGCTTCAATTTGTAAACTCAATTGCTGGATGCCTGCTAGAATCACATCATCCCTTGGATGAGTGCAATCCTCCCTTTGATTCACACTTCCCTGGCCTGAGCCTGACATTTTTTTTTTTAACCTGCAAGAAAATGTTAGAGATAAAAAGAAATCTCACTAGTCACTCCCTTACGTTTTTTGCTCAAAGTGTTTGTCACTCCTCTCGTGTTTAACTCAATTTCGGCTTTTTCTTCTCTCAATTAAACTCACACACTCTTGCCTTTTACCTCTCGTTTCCTTCTAGCAAGCTCTTTTTTTCAGACATGAATTCAATCTCACAAGCTCCTCAGAACAATCGATAAACCACCAAGCAAGATCAAATTCAGCAATATATCGCTCAACTCAGCAATTCAGCAAATTTTCGCTAGATTCGGATTCTGATTCAATTTCTGCTACTGAAATTTTTTTTTTTATTCGGTCCAACTATCAATGATAAAAAAAAATGAGTCGTCCTCTTGAATTTTTTTTTTTTGGCCGAAACTTTTTTTTTTTGGCTTTTTTTTTCGTCGATTTTTTTTTTGGTTTTTTTTTTTACGAACTCAAGTACAATATAAAAAAAACAACTAGGACCAAAAACCGTAAATCAAAATTGAAATCACAGCAAGAACAAATTCAGAACCCTAATTCGATTAATAACGAAACCCTAATTCTATAAACCCTAGTTTCTATAAACCCTAGTTTCTATAAACCCTAGATTGATGAATGAAAAGCAGTAAAAGTGTGATGACTAGACCTTGTAGAACTAGCTCTGATACCAGATGATATGAATCTGTGCGGAAGATGATCGTTCTACGAAGATCTGTGAGTTACGAATTGCTGACATCGACCCCCAATTGAACCTGTGATTGGTAATCTCGGTATGAACGCGACCTGTTGACGAACCTGTGTCAACCAATCCATGCTATAACGCCACGAACAAGAAAATTCACGATCTTGCTCGATAAGTTGAATTCGATCGCCACAAGAGAACCTTGATAAGATCTAGTCCTCAAGAGAACTCAAGAAGAAAACTTCTCTATATAAAATTCTGCCCCTCTTAGAAATCTATAAGCAATCTTATATAGGGTGCTAACCCTAATCATAATCCTACTAGGATTAAAATTACAAAAATAACCTTAATTACTAAAAATTCGTCCAAAAATGGAAAAAGGCCTAAAAGTTCATCTAAACGACTCTAAATCGCTAAAAAAACGTCATCAATCACTACTGAAGTAGTGTGTATTGATCAGCGGCCCGTTTTCAAGCGTCCATCCAAATTTGAGCCAATTCGGAGTTTGTCAATTCTAAGCTCCTTCGGAATTCGCTGGACCAAGAGTAATCATGTTGCGCCAAGGAGCTTCAGAATCTTCAAGTTTCGAATTCAGATTATCTCCATTCCAAATATCTTGAACCATGATGCCGACAGCTTGTTTGAATTCCTTCGCTCTCGCTCGAGTGATCGGGCCTAGCGGATAGAACAACGAGTCCCTAGCACCTTCTCCTCGATAGGGTTCGATATCCACATCACCATCTCTTGAAATCAGCCGCATTGAAGTTTTCTGGCTTCTCTCCATGAGTTGGAACAAATGCAATAGGCGTCATCGATATTGTAGCCATTTATGTTACGAAGACAGAAATTATTGAAAAGGCAACTATACAAACACAAAATTTGTCTTAAGATTGTTGATTCCTAAGTGTTCGTAAGTGCAAAAACAAAGTTGTTCAACAAACCTTAAAGCGCATATGAGTAATCCGAATGTTGACAAATGATTCGAGCCTAACGAATTCACGTTGTGTCCTTAAGACAATTTATCCCCTCCACCGGTACCCAAGGTTCTTGAACAATTACCTCCCAAGATAGAACGGATTGCCTTTCCTATGAAGTGGTACTTCTTCAAAGGAAACCTTTGAACGCAACTTTGCAGATTAATCGCACGAAAATGACAATGATGAAGAATAAGAGAGCAGTAGAAAAATGCCGCGCGAAAAACACAAATGTTTTTTGTTTTATTTAAAAATAATGAAGAGTCACGAAGAACCGAAAAGTTTCATTCGGTTCACAAACAGACATATCTGTCCGAAAATAAATGGGCGAACAATCACGAACAAACATATCTTTCCAAAAAATAAAATTCCAAAACAAAAATATGTATGTTCGGTGAAAAACAAAACTGTCTGAACCAACATATTTGTTCGGTGAAAAACAAAACTGTCTGATCCACACTTCTCATTCACCTTCTATGGGATTTGGATACCAAAATCCCAACAGCATTCGGTTCATTCACGTCAATTGAAAGCCAACTCCTCAAGAGAATGGAACGAAAGAATTATCTACTGAACTTCGCCCCCAAAACTAGAGAAGGGAGCCTCAGTCGATGCAACACAAGCAATTACATCATTTCCTAATCTCCAGATATCACGTAATTTGGCCAATAACCAAGAAAAGCCACCATCCATAGTAGCCTCAACACATCAAACTGGAATCATGCCAGGCATTTTGCTCGTCAGTAATACTCATCGTATCGACAGCATGCTCATTCTCATAGCATCTTTCAGTTGAAGAAAACTTAGGATGTGCCAAAGAATTTTATGGGGCAGATCACACAACTGTGTGGAGCTGCGAATTTCTTGCCCTTCATCTAAGCTCATGCATTGAGCTTTTCGAACCAGAGGCCTCACGTCCATGAGTTCCACAATCTAGCCTGGAGAATATGATGAAAGCATGTAAGAAGGTAATGAAATTTCTCCACTTTCAGTGCTTGATTGATGCACATCGCTATATATGTCATGTGTTTATTCGGATTATAAACCGGACAAGCTTATCGCGTTCTCTTTGACCATCGGCTTCATTTACAGGCGAGGATTAACAACAAAAAAAGGAATAAAAAAAACCAAAGTGAGGAATGGTTGAAGATTAACGACGACAGCGAAGCATAAGGGCAAAAGATAGTAGATTACTCGGTCAACAGGTACATTCAAAGATGGCAAATCTTCCGAGGAGAACTTAGTATGTTAGAGAGATACCAAATAAGATCTTTCCCTTAATTATAGCATTTAATTATGCGCATCGAATTTAGGTCCATGACAGTCATATCATTCATCGTCTTTCTTTGCTAAATAAATCACGAGAAATAAGAATTTCAAGAATCGAAGTGAAAAAAAAAAAAATATATATATATATATATATATACACACACACGATTGGTTTGACACAACTACATCGTTTAGAAATACATTAATAAAATGTCACGAGTTAATGATGAAACAACGAAATTCCACAAAAGACATAGTCATTGTGCACAAAAAATTGGCGTTCATATGTTCGCGTTCTCAAAGTATCCAGCAAAAGAGCACACACCTTGTGCACAAATAACTTGCGTCGAATCGAGATTTCGATAAGTAATAGTGGCTTAGCTTACCAAAGACAGAAAAGACTTTCATTTGAATTTGAAAAGTGTTAAGAGATTGAAGAAATTATGATTTAAAGTGTTAGAGATTCATCTTACTTTTGAATTTCACTCTTGTCCCTCACTTGATAACATACGATCTTCATTTCACCCTCGGAGTTTCATGTGATATTTGGGAAAAACTTTAAGGTTGAAACCTTCTACTTGGGTTTGATCTGTGGATTTATTTTACGTACATTGCCGTCATAAAAATTTTCTACATTACTAGGTTAAATTCCGAAGTTAAAAGTCCGTCATTTATAAATCGCTGCACACCAGGCAACCTTGAAGATATGATTGGGGACAGATTTGCCCGTCCAAGCAGCACATAACCTACCAAAAAAAAAAAAAGAGAGCAACAAAGACATTCTCTTGAAGAACAATTTAGATTTGATGCTTATATTCAGACATGAAGTTTGAAAAAGGAAGTCCGTAGACAGTCGTGCATATCAAGCATGTATGGATCTCACTGCTGTGACGACAAATATGATCACGCAAGTTCGCGAAATCTGATACAGAAAAAAGGGTCTCCATCTTTTGGTTAACTCTACACGAATATTTAAAAGAAGTGGCATTTAAAATGATGAATACGTATTTATAACAAAGTGAGGTCTTTTTGTAATAAATTGTGCAGATTTGAAGGAGCCTCTAACATTTGATTCCTTGAACTTGTGATAATATATGCAGATCGCCAAGTGTCTTATCCTTGAAAGTGAGGTCACTAGTGGAAACTGGAAAGACATTTTCACGGAAACATTGAAGAGGGACCCAATGAGATGGCTTAAAGAGTGGATACGTGGGGAGTCTAATTTAGCGGCATGCAAAACGGAACGTCCAAATTGGGTACCGCCTGGATCGGATCAGTTCTCGAGAATGTCAATCTGGTTTCAGATTCCTAAAAGTGAAACCGGTGTCCGGGCGGTTCAGTTCCCGGTTCCAAGGGAGATCCGGACCAACTATATGTACTTTTTTTTAATTTTATTTCTTCAAAAAATTAGTAAAATGTGAACTAAACCCTAAGTGTTTGACGAAAAACAAATTAAACCTTAAGTGACCGGTTCTATTGGACCAAACCATGACTGGACCGGGGTCCGATCTCCGGTTCTCAAAATTGGGAACCTTTGGGAACCTTTGGGAACCGGTTCCCGATTCCACCTAGGAATCGGACCGGATTGAAAACTGATCACTCCTAGTCTAGTCTCATACTTTTGACGAGAAAAATCAGGGAATAAAATGATATAGTGAATGGCATATTGAAACCGACATATTCTTAGGTCTTTTTGGAGTGCATGGATCCCCATTTACATGTTTCCCTGCATGTTATTTAATCAGAAATTCAAGGAAAGGTCAAATTTGTACTAGAATTCACCAAAAGGTTACTGTACTGATCTCTCCATCACCTTTCAGGACAATGAACCTACAAAAATTTATTACTATACACCAAAAGAAGGCTTTGGAAGATCTTTTTAATACACATGGATCATGTTTATCATCTTCAATGGTCTTCCCTTTCCAGTTAGAAAATTTTGGATGAAACATATCACAATCAATACTCACGGGGACGAAGGATCGGAATCCATAACCTTGAGTTGCTTCGAGCTCGGGGAGCATCATGTCGAGGTGAGGGAGTGTAGGTTGAATCTG